TCATTACTAATAATCCCTTTTCCCCTGTATGCTTGTTTGCCAACTTCGTGGTATATATATATATATATATATATATATATATATATATATATATATATATATATATATATATATATATATATATATATATATATATATATAATGTGGATATATATAAGGACAGAGGAAGGCCTCAAAAGACATGGATGGAATGTGTGAAAGATGATATGACCAGAATGGGAGTCAATGCGGAAATGACTGCAAATAGAGAAGAATGGAAGAGAAAAACGGAATACGCTGACCCCAAATAATAATTGGGATAAGGGTCGGAAAATTATGATAATGCTTCCTTTAACCCGTGATTTAGATCATAAAACCGAGATAAAAAAAAAACAATATATTTTCTCCATTCACTATCATCATCATCATACCAGCCATTAACTGTCCACTGCTGAACATAGGCCTCCTCCATAAAGGGAGTTTTGCCAATAGTTGCCACACTTGGCAAGCTGATTCATAACCGCAGTTAGGTTTTGAAGATGTTTTAAGAGGGACGCTGCTGTCCATCCCTTTCTCTCGTTTAGTCGCCTCTTACGACATCCATGGGAAAGGAAGGAGTGATCTATTCTATACTGGGACCACACAGAACTGTGTCGTCACATTTATTAACTTGCTAATTCCCTATATTGTTAAATACAAATAAAGTATACTCATTCAATTAAAAATAATTCGAACAACAAACTGTTAATTAAATAAAAATAATTAAATCTCTTTTTGACGTCGTTTAAAAACTGAAAAAGAACAATTAAAACTGAAAATCGACGTTAATGTTCTACAAACAGCATTTTCCGACGGATATTTTTTTCTACACCAATTAAAACACTCGCACACGTCGGAAAATCAGACGGTTTACGCTCGGCTTTGCTCTCGTTTCTAACTTACAACCGATGTTAATTGCCTATTCCGTGTGATTTTAAGGCGCACATAAGAGTTTGTTCTTGCAGCAATAAGTGAAGGATCAATATTGTTTCACGATTCAGGGTAATTCGTGACTTTACACACGTTAATTAGAATAAAATATCTTATGTGTATTAGTGTATTGTTTTTTATGAATTATTCACGATATTGTCAGTCTGTGTACCAGGTGGGGAAGTAATTATAATTGTCGATGATCCCAGGCTTACAAGCGATATCGAAACCTTAAGTATTAGGAGAGATTTTGCCTCACTCTGCATGTTCTATCGCATGTACAACGGATTGTGCTCAGAGGAATTGTTCAATATGATGTCCACGGCCACTTTCTACAATCGTACCATCTTATTAACTCCCTCATGAATCATATTACATGAGGGAGTTTATAAGATTTTTTAAATTATACTCCAAGGTCAACCAACCAATGGATTAGTATGAATAATATGTATCGTTTAAGTAATCGATTCGTAATGTTTATAAATTGGAACAATTGTAAAATTTCAATATTTCAAACCAACAACAACAATTTACAACCTATAAATCTCAACTGAAACGTGATTATTCACAGATTCTTTTATTTATGCAACTTACGAGAAGAATGGCAAACAAACTGACGGACCACCTGATGAAATGTGATAACCGTCACCTATAGACATGGACATAACAGAGTATACTGTTTCGCCCATGATACCCCTATATGTTGCCATTCCTGAGGACTCAGGTGTTATTCCTCTGTACCCTGCAAAAACAAAAACACAGACATGAAAACACGACTGCTTTAATGTTGAAACATAAATTTATTGCACTAAAATATACAGTATTAATAACATTATTTGAACTATTGAAACGGTTCCGCGGTTGATCACAATCTCACTTGATGGAAAGCGATGATGTAATCTAAGATGGGGCTCACGGGTCCACGAATAGCCCATTTATATTTGCCTTAAATTGGTACAGATTATATTTAGATGAAAAAACATAAGCAGGGAGAGAGTTCCACTCTTTAGCTGTACGCATGATGAAGGAAGACGCAAATCATTTCGTGCGTATAAATAAATGGTATGTCTACGATCTAACGGTGGAGTGTCGAAAGGGTAAAGAAAAATTAGGTCATGTTGAGCACACTCTCCAAAATGTCTCCAAAATTAGTAACAAAATAAAGTCGAACTTATCTCTAAAAGAAATCTCTTTCAATCAACCTATAACAGTGGCATAAAAAGTAGTAATTACATTAGAGGCCAATTTTGGAGAATCCAGGGTAGTCAGTCAAGCAATCAGTTGGGTGACAATATTGATCATTTCTTTAACCGATGCGTATTGTAATTTTTAATATTTCATTTCACATACAACTCACAGCCTTTAAATTTTAACTAGATTTTTTATATATTTTTTATATCAATACGAGTAAAGTGGCAAACAGGCGTCTCCCTGATAGTAAATTGCCACTGTAGCCTATAAACGTCTGCAATATTAGGAATAACACATTGTCGACCCTAAAGAAACTTTAATATTGTAATTTACAGAAAAAACCTCGACAGAGAGCTCACTCGAAAGCATTTATGGGACAAAACTCTTCTAAAACTAGAATTTAATTATTACATTTACGAGAGTCAGAGTACGAGTATTTCTTGAGGGTGTCAATAAGCCAATTTGGAGAATCCGGGATAGTCAGTCAACCAATCAGTGGGATCATTTCGAGTAACAGATCCTTATTGTTTTATACATTATAAAATTATAATATTTCATTTTACATACAACTGATGTTGTATGTAAAACGCTTCAATGTTTCAACTAGTTTTTTTTTTTTATATCACGAAAGTGGCAAACAAGCGTTTACCTAATAGTAAATTGTCTATGTAATCTATAGACGCTAGTAACATTAGGAATAACACGTGCGCGTTGCTGACTCTAAAAAACCTTAATACTGTAGTTTTCAGGGAAAATCTCGGCAGGGAGCTCACTCCACAACATTTATGAAACAAAACTCTTCTAAAAATAGAATTTAATTATTATATTAAAAATCACAATACGAGTATTTCTTGAGGAAGTCAATAGGTCAATTTGGAGAATCCGGGATAGTCAGTCAACCAATCAGTGGGATCATTTGAGTGACAGGCCCTTATTGTTTTATACATTGTAAAATTATATTTCATTTTACAGATTTGTATGTATGTATTCATTTTACATATAACTGACAGCCTCAATATTTAAACTAGATTTTTTTATATCACGAAAGTGGCAAACAAGCGTTTGCCTAATAGTAAATTGTTTATGTAATCTGTAGACGCTAGTAACATCAGGAATAACACGTGCGCGTTGCTGTCGCTAAAAATCTTAATACTGTAGTTTACAGGGAAAATCTCGGCAGGAAGCTCACTCCACTTCATTTATGGGATGAAACTCTTCTAAAACTAGAATTTAAATATTACATTAAAAATCACAGTACGAGTATTTCTTGAGGGAGTCGATAGGCCAATTTGGAGAATCCGGGATAGTCAGTCAACCAATCAATGGGATGCTATGAATAATATGTATCATTTGTGTAACCGGTCGGTACTGTTTCAAATAATTAATTTTCGGGGTGTGTACTGTAACGTGCCTCAGTGAGGCAAAGTTTGTGGAGCGCATGCGTCGAGAGCCGGTTCTAGGCGGGTATAGGGCGCCCATGGTTTGAGGGACTTTTTGATTAGTTATTTGTATTTAATAGACATTCTATTATATTAAGTGAAATAATATATATTTTATGTATAAATATAATTAATAATATTTATTAATTATATTTATACATTATACATACGTGTATAATGTGTAAATATAATTATGGTTCTATGGTACGTGTTTATACATAATAGTATATTTCGAATTTAATTTACTTGTTATTTTATAAAACTGAATTATATTTGTTAAAAGTTATTTTAGTATGTATTTCCGTACAAATTTTGCAATCTATTTTTAACCACTTGATGGTGTTCTATTTTATACTAAAATTTGGCATACTTGTGTAAGTTTCGTCGCAATACCTATGACAATATTAAGCTGGTCTGATGATGAAGACGGAAGGTGGCCATAGGAACTCGTATATTAGACATGATAAATTGTATTTGGATTCGTATGATTTGACTTAACATAATTTAAAATTGTATTCCACAACCAACCTGTAAGTGCATACCTACCCTACGTAACCTACCCTTTTAGATAAAAAACAAATTTCCAAATATGTCGAAAACGAAAACTGACGAAATTATGAGGTAACGACTTTTTTAAGTCAGTCGAAAAACTATAACACCGCTTAGTGGCTGGAGTCTGATATTGATACCTGATAACAACAAATAACAATTTTCCGAAAACTGCTTTCATAAAAAATTCAATGTTATATAAAAGTGTTTGTAAACAAATGTATTTGTGTAAAGATGATTTGATAAGAGCATAATTCATACATCCATTTATATTTATAATTAGATTTCATGTACAAATAAATAGATTTTTCATTATATTATTAAGTAATGCCAAAAACTATTAAATCATTTCATTATCTTGTCATGTAAATTGGTAAAAGTTGTAATACTTGACAAGCTGTTTTGTAAAACAATAAAACTATTATAAACTATATAATAATAATTATTGGTTACTAATAAATATGAGTATATACGTATATATATACGTGTATATATTAATTTATAAATAAACATAAAAAAATATAATCTATGATACAAATATATATATTTCCCAAAAATAATTGATGATAAAATTGGACGTTAAAAATAAATAGTTTATTTTAGATATAAAATTGTGTACACTTCATTTTTATACGCTATCCTACGTGACACATCTGCGGAGAAACTAACCGAGCATGGTTACCCTAACTGCAGCCTCCAGCACCCGAGAAGGTTTCATATTGACCTATACGTATTACGAGTACTCTCACCACGCTCCCTTTCTGGTTGTGCGAGCGAGACGCACGACCGTACTATACAACAACCGCACCGGTGTGACAGAGACAGCGAGAGCCGGGTAGACAGCCGGGTCTACTCATTTCAGTGTGTCCCGATCGTCGACGGGTCGCGGTCCAACGCGTTTTCATGTACGAAACAACGTACGCGCGTACATTTTTGAAAATAGAACCATCTGTGTTGTGTATGACCTATGTATTGAGACTGTGTTGTGATTGTTGTATTTCATGTGTACAATACTAGATTACGTTATGTATGTGTTACCAGTGTGGGTGAATAACGATAAATTTTTCACGAGTCACTAGTTTTCTCTCCCCTGGGAGTCGTTTGTCGCAATGTGAGTAATTTTGACGCTTTTAAGAATTCCATTTGCATGTATGGACGTATGAGTGTATTGTTTTTACATAATATAAAATTGTATTATATATTTCATTCATAAGGTTGAAATTCGAGTAATGTATACACATTTATACACATATTAAGGTTTTCTAATGCATTCATATAGATAAAATATATAAATTTATTCTGTATATTATATACAATTCATTAAGTATAAAGAATTTAAGCAAGAATTAATTAGAATAATAAAAAGACAGAATTAGAGTAAAGCCGGTAGTCTTTCCTCAAGCAATTATCTTTGAAATTCGTCTAGTTTGCTAGTCGTACAATGGCGAAAGTAAATGAGAAAAGTCATTATTAATAATTATAATTTACTATTACTCTTGATAGCGGGTAGTACCCATTTTTTAACCGACTACAAAAAAAGGAGGGAGCTCTCGAGCAGGTGGTATTTTTATATTTATTACTTCGTAGCTCTGTTAATTATATTAACCGATAAAGGATATAATTTCAGATTGATTCTATAGAAATTTTACCCAAATCGATTTAGTAATTATTTTTTAAATGAAAATTGTTTTGCCACAATTGCAGCTGATTTTTTTTGTAGATCATAGACTAAATAATAAAAAAAATACATTGACACAACCGTTAAATATATTCGTAGGTATTATGTATTATTATTTTTCCTATCCAATTAATAATACACACAATTTAAATAGTACACTCATCAAAACAATGGTTTATTTTGTTTTATTTAATTATTCTTTTGGCCGAGTTTAGCCGAATTGAGATGGTATATTAACTATAATTGTAGAAATAAATCATGTTCAATATTTATTTTTAACCGACTCGAAAAAAGGAGGTGCTGTGTTTTACTGTATACTTTTTTATTTACCGCTTTATTTTCTAGCACGATTATATCAAAATAATAATAAAAAAATATATGATAAGATGCACTTCTTTAATTTTTATGTTATTTTAATATTACATCTGGAATCAACAGCTTATATCTATATATACCATACATTAGCCAATTACAGATTTGTATACCAGACAATATTATGCTAATTTTTGGAAGGTAGGTTAATTAAATAGAAAAAAAATATATAAAAATAAAGTCTGTGGAGATAAACATTTGGAACGTCGCATCACTGGAAGTTCAGCAATAATTAGTGTAATACTTGTAGGTAATTTTTTTTTAAATTTTCTTAATCCTATTAATATTATAAATACTTAACACTGGACGGTGTTCTCTACCAGTCAATCATTGGGCAAACCGAGAAATAAGTAGGCTTATTGAATTAAAAAATATGAAAAGCTATGAATATAAAAGGATATAGCTTGTAGTAAGTAATTTATTTATTACTTATACAATAAACTTAATTTTTTATTTGATAAAAATGGAAATATATCTTTTGCTATTTATTTACGCTGGTAGAATATCAATGAGGAATAACGGGTGAACAGGTCAGAGTGTTTGTCGATTCTGTCTTTAACCGACACTTGTTTTTTGCATATGAGGGTAGTAAAATGGGCTTCTTTCTGAGGTTCATTTAAAAAAAAAAACGTGCATTTTATTTAAGAGACCGGCATCACATTGGTAATTTTTTAACGTAGATAAAAAATATTTTAAATTTTTATTACATCATACTTTTCAACTGTCCAATTCATTGATTTATTTTTAAAATTATTAAATTTTTTCTTATTTTTTTTAACACTGAAACTAATACTTTGTTGAAATATTAACCGGAAATTTATAACTATGGATAGATGTTAACAGATTTGAATGAAATTTAGTACACATGTAGGTTGTATTCTAACTTTGTACATAGGATACTTTATGACTGATTCACGTGTGTATATATATATATATATATATATATATATATATATATATATATATATATATATATACACACACATATCGAAGCATTTGGCGTTCCATATATATATATATATATATATATATATATATATATATATATATATATATATATATATATATATATATATATATAAACAAACAATAACATATTAACTTCTAATCTATAATATTTAATTACCTCAAAATACAAAACTATTGTATTGAATCCAGATACAGAATCAGTTATCGTTTGCAGAGAGTGAACTTATGGTGTCCTATGGGAACCATAAATCTCTCGCAGATATCGAATCGGTAACAGTTAAACATGGTGGCAATCAATACAATCTCAGTTAAAGGTTAAGTTATTTTTAGTACAAAACAATTAAGAGATTCGTGCTCTATTAGTTTTTTATGTTACTATCAATAACTTGTGACTTTACTGTCGTAATTAAAAGTAAAAAGCGTGCTGTGTAGGTGAACTAGAATCATCATCATCATCATCATATCAGCCTTTAACTGTCTACTGCTGGACATAGATCTCTCTCATAAGGCAGGTTTTGCCAACTGCCAGTTGCCACGTGATTTGAATCACAATAAAATCTACTATAACTACAATACAGCTTTGAATGGCAAACAAGCTTCATGGAAAGTAGTAACTCGCCTATAGACATGAGCAGTACTATGGACATTACAAAGTATGTTTGTCCATGATAATTATCAAACCCTGTAAATTCAGCTGATTCGTTTTTTTATCAGTGTTCCATATAATTACACACATAATGTATCTTGACGTATCTAAATTTAATTATTCAATAAATATAATAAGATTTTACGTATTTAAAACATGCAAAGCTTATAAAACAAAATAAAAATGGAAGTTATAAGGGAAACACTCATAACTATTTATCACGCAAAATTGTATGAAAAAGTTGACCCGCTTTTCTCGAAACATTTGTATGGAGACACTCTATCTATATAATTTGAAAACTACGGGTTTTATATGGGAAGGACATAGGACACTTTTTACCCCGGTCAGTAAACATATTCCGGTCATACGGACGAAGTCGCGGGTAGACGTTAGTATCTAAATAAATGTGAGTGTTCATTAGGCGTAGGAGTGAAACTTCTATACAGATACCTACGCGTTTTCTTATCAGTTTTCTTGCCCACCAAACTGTTTTTAAAAGGCCGAAATCTAAATTAACCTTCTGTTATTATGTGTTAATTATTTCCAAATAAAAGGTTTTGAATATCAAAGTTCGTACCTATCTTATACAATATTCTAATTTATTTTCATTAAAATTTATTAGTTAAGTTTATACATTATGTTAAAATAAAATTAATATAAAATTATACATAGAGCGATGGGATGTTCCATTTATGTAATATATTGGAAAATATTTAAATTTAGAACCTCTTTTTAAGGAATAACCGAAAGTAATAGATTCACAATTCGTTTATATTTTATATGCAAATATGTTACGCGATTGTTTTGCCAATTTTAAACCGATTTTGATCTTTTTTTTTGGAACAGATTACGTTTCCTCCCAGTTGGTCTAGTTATATTAAATACTAGCTATCTACCCCGGCTTCGTATGAGTATATAGATTATAAGATAAATTAATACTTTATATTAGCTTTAATAGGGATTTTTTTATACTTTTGATTATGTTATTGTAATTTTCGTATGAATCTCTAATTTTTCAACCAACTTCAAATAGGAGGTTCTCAATTTGGCTCCTCAATCCACAGTTTTTTTGATGGGTAAAAATGGAATGGTAACCCCTCCTGCGCTAACGGTATACGCTGGCGGGGCACCAGTGAAGGGTGATCGATGAATGAAAACAGGCCAGTTAGCCCATCATGATGAATTCATCAGGAATTAACCATGATAGTTTCCAGGGGGAACCACCAGGAGGTCGACCTGGTTGGGTATATTGCTAGCAATGGAATTTTTAGTCTCCATTACTGATAATCTATTTCTCCCCTCAATCCACAGTTGTATTTTCGATGGTCTGACTTAAAATTAACAGAGATTTAAAAAAGTAACTCTTGAATGTTTTGCGGGCTCTTCTGCAATAGATTTTCAAAAAAAAATTACGATTTTAAAGTGTGCTTGCATCTAGAACTAGCATATTTAATTGGTTTTTCAACTTCTGAAATCCACACATACGAAGCAGCCGGCAAAAGCTAGTTATAGTAGTGCAAATCCTGATAATATTGTACATAAGTATAGTAGTATCGATAAGTAAAATTAGGTACATCAATAACCTCTTCCTAGCGTACCGACATGAATAATTCATCCTTCGGCAATGTCAAATATACTGCCGATGGATTATTGATGGCACTGATGTATAAGTTATCAGCAATAATGATATTCACGGACACAGGGACGGACTTGTTTGTTTTGCCGCGGCGGGCAATAATTTTCATCACCCCTGAAGGCAATCTGTTTCAATAGGACTTGATGAAAATGTTAATAAATGTGTAAATGTCAATAGAAAAGAATAGAAAAGAAACGTGTAATCGACCCGATTATAAACAGTGTGCAGACGTTTAATGAAAAATACATTAATTTATGGAATGTTTCAATTTGTCATTAATTTCCTTTAAAAAGTATTTCTTTGATAATTTAAAAAAGAAAAAAATATAAATTAATTTCTAAAATATATATATTAATTTCTTTTAAAATAGACTGCCGCGACTTCACGTGAATAAGTTGATTAAAAAAAATAAAAAATAGACTACATCCTTTACTAATTGTACCAGTATTTTAAATTTAATGAAGACTGGTCTGTCGTTAAGGTGTCAAGAGCTAACAAACAAACTCACATTATAAACATTAATAAGGACGTAATTTTGCCGTGTCTCCCATCAAACTGCTTATAATTACTTCTTTCCATACAAAAGTTGCTTGAATAAAGTCGTTTTGGCGTCATGGCTGTTAATTGTTTACTTCTTAATTTTGTTCCTGTTTCAAACTTACATCATCATCATCATCATATCAGCCATTATCAGTCTACTGTTGAACATAGGCCGTTTCAAAGTTTAGTACTGTAATATTTTGGAAGAAACAATAAAGAGTATCTGTTCATTTCCCCACTCTTATATTTAACAACGAATATTTATTGACA